GAATTAGATGAAGAAATGCAGAAGAGTGTAACTGCTGCTAAATTATTACAAGGTCATATTGCTGGTTTACTACCTGAGGTTTTGGACAACCTTGAACCAGCAACGGACGCAGCAAAGAAGGAACACCTAATGAAAACCATTGCACCTTGGCTAACCGTTGAAGTAGCAGAGGAAGTTGGTCACATCGTGGACTCCCGTGAGATACTCACCGCCATCATTCAGGAGATCATCAAACAGCGTGCAACTGCATATGCTGGTTACAAAGAAGAAATGCCGCTGGAAACCGTAATGGAACGTGGTGAAGATGATATTTTGGAAGAGGCAACAAAGGAAGAAATATGTACGTGTGAGTCAAGTGATATTAGCAGCGAGAAAACAGATAAATGTGACGACTTGTCAAAGAAAGTGTGATCAAAACTGAAATTCGTTTACTGTTAACTGATTTATTTGCTCCCTAAAATTTATGTCTTAACGAAACAAATTGAAATGAAAATTTTGGATATTCAAATATAAGTATACATATGTATGTATGTAGGTACGAGTACATATGAAGCTGGATTGGTTGACGAATATCCATACATATGTTTGTGGCACTCGACAACATCAAACAAATAATGAAAATCATTCAAAATTATTCTGACTTTGTTTAAAAATGCTGCTGACGCCGAAGAATACGTCGTTAGGGAATTTTCTAAATAAAAAAGCTCAAATGTTAATTAACAAATTACAGCTAAACTATGAAGCGCTCTTGAATGCATTTTTCATTTTTACGCGTTTTTTCGTAGTTTTGCTATGACGTCGGTTAACATTTATGGCCTTTTTATTCTTAAAATTCTCTGGTCGTTGAAGCTGTCGCATTGAAATGAAAATATTGCTTATGAGCACTGTTTATTTCTTATATAATTAAATATATAATTCAATATTATAATAAACTAATATTGATAACTTTGTTTTATGTACTATTGTATTAAACACAACCAACCGCGCGGATCTACTTGTCGTACTTAAAATTTGTAAATCTTCACAGTAGCAGCAAAGCACGCAGTAATCTGAAACAGTAAAGAGGTATTCTGGACTACACTCTTCTTCTTTACTGACGTAGACACCGCTTACGCGGTTATATAAGTTTAATAATATTACTTTACGATTTAATGAGTCTAAAATTCAAGTATAATATTGAATTTAAAAATGTTTATATGCGAAGTAGGCGAGTATTTAATTTATACTTCGCGTGTTTTTCGAATCGGGATTACTTTGAAGGAGATGAAATGGACAAAATTCGCTTTTCAATTTGATCACAGTAGTATGTATGTATACAAGGTAAAAAGGTTGCAGAAAATTCAGCATTCTTTAGTTATAGTTTTTTTTACTCGTATGTCATTCTTGCTTTACCAGTGGAACGCTACGAGGACTCTGCCGGATTGGTCCTGCAACCTGTTTTAATAAAATGCTTCACAAATTTGGTCTTACTGGTTTGAAATCTTCTTCTTCTTAATTGCCGTAGTCACCGCTTACGCGATTATAGCCGAGTTAACAACAGCGCGCCAGTCGTTTCTCCTTTTGGCTATGTAGCGCCAATTAGATATTCCAAGTGAAGCCAGGACCTTCTTCACTTGGTCCTTCCAACGGAATGGAGGTCTTCCTCTTCCTCTGCTTCCCCCGGCGGGTACTGCGTCGAATACTTTCAGAGCTGGAGTGTTTTCGTCCATTCGGACTACATGACCTAGCCA